AACTGTGAACCACAAGGTTGGCGATTCAAGCCTATCAACTGCTCTGAGGGAGAAAGATGAGGCTTTCTGTTCCCACAGATTTGCAGCCTTGGAAATCCCATGGCTTAATGTGCTGAACTGCAAGGTTGGTTTGAACCGCCAGGTCAGCGGTTCAGCCGTTTCTTGGAAACCCTATTGTAGGGTTGCTATGAGTTGGAACCAGGCTATGGCAACTAGTTTTTGGGATTCCATGATCTATCATGAGGGCTTATTAGGAAGAAGTTTTAAGAAAGTTGCAAAGTGCATTGGTGAGAAAAGGGCCAGGAAAGGTGTACTGAGGAATTTTTTTCATGACAACAATGCACTTGCTCATTCTTTGAGCTTAGCATGTACTGTTACTTAGCAGCACATCAAGTCAGTTCTGACTCATAGTGACCCTGTTTAGGGTGAATTTGATCCTCTGACCTTGTGGTTCAAATCAACCTTGTAGTCCAGTGCTTTATCTCACTGTACCATGCCAGGACTCCAGGGAAGGGTTAGAGAGATGAAATACCACCTTCGTAAGCATATAGACCTAGATGGACGATATGGTTAGAAAAAATGTTCACATTTTGATGGTTTTCTTTATTAAAAGTCTTTGACTTCTATGATTTTACACTAATACTTTTTGACTTAACCTTGTGTGTGTGTATGGAGAGAGAAGGATATTAATTTACTTCAAGTACATGAGTCACTGAGTTTTAGGGAATGGCAAGTCCCAAATCTGTAGGTCAGATGGCAGGCTGGAGACCTGCTGGCTCACAGGAATGTGTCCTGGAGTCTTCTGCAGACTTATGTCCTAGGACCCAGAGATCAGGAGGCTAGGATGTACACCATCAAGAGGGGGAACTTTGCCAGAGTATCCACGTATATTCTGGAGTCAGACCACATCCCCAAGGAAACGCTGCTTTTAACTGATAGGTTGATCACATGAGATCACATTATATTGATCATGTCCGATCACATCAGATTACATTATGGAAGAGCACCTAGTCCAGAGTCTGCCACACCACTGAGAATCATAGCAAGTTGATGCATCACATTAACCATCACAATCCTGAGGAGCAGCATGTATGGAGGCCTGATGTAGGAATGAGTCATGATTTGTGTCGAGCCAAAGGGCCAGTGTGGCTGGAGCGTGGTGAGTGCAAGGACAAGAAGAGGACAGCAGGACCTGATCATGTGGTGCCTCAGGGGACTGGGTTAGGGGGTTGGCTTTTATTCAGATTAAATTGGGAAGCTGCTGGAGGATACTCACATGATCTCATAGAGAGACATTGTAAGGATGGTGATCAAGCTGCAGGATGATGGAGGCTTGGATTGTGCGCTCCTGTTAGAGATGAACAGAAGTGGATGGTTTTGGAGAATAAGGAAACAGCGGTGTTTCTTCTTGCCTTTTCCCTACAATGCTATGACTTTGGATTCCTTTCAGCCTTTTGCTATTCTCTGGGGAGAATGCTCCAGACTTTGCCAGCTTCATGGGTAGGGGAGAAGAGTGAGGGCCCAGACCCTGTGGTTGTGTGGCCTTTTCCTAACCTGTTGCTGTGGAGGTGAGGCTGTGGCCGACCTGTGTCAGCAATGTCTTTCTGGTATGCTGAACGCTTAGGTCATGTCTGGATGTTCTTGCTCCAGACCTTGTCTGGGTCCCAAACCAAACATGCCACATTCTGTTAAGTCTTCCTCGTTTTAGAGAAACCTTCCTCCTGCCTTTCTGATTGGCTGTCTCTGGGTATACGCTGTGGGTCCCCTGTTCCTCCTTTCAGACTTGCCCAGATAGGGATGAGACATTCCTAGAGATCTGTGTCACTGGTGGAAGTGTCCAGTGGGGCCCTGAGCACCACTGTCTTCTTGGCCTCAGCCCTAACTCTGTAGGCATAGGTAGTAGAGCTCTGAGTCAGTGGGGTCACTTGTCAGCTGAGAATGGTCCTCTCTACATATTCCCTGCTGTGCACAGTGAGTTTTAGCAGGAGAGGTATTTTGGTTAGCATCATTGATTGGCCAACCCCTTAGATGCCTTGTTGTTCAGAAAGAAGAGATTAAGAGCATCTCTTCCATTGCCTATGTGCAGCACGTTCAGGTTTCTGGTGAATTTTTAAAGCATCAACTCATTTGTTCCTTTCAATAATTTTAGAAGAGAGATGGGTCCCACTTTTTGCCTCCTCCCCCCCCTTTTTTTAAATGCTTGCATCCAGTGATTACTGGGTAGTAGTTCATAGACATATGAAGATTTTTCAGTTTATAAATGATGCTGGTGAACATTTCTTTCTATACTCTTTAATGTTTCTTTATCTGTAAAGCTTGTCTGCTGTTGCATTAGCCATCCGAAATGACCCAGGACTTGTTGCAGATTCTCAGTTGGGCCTGTCTTAGAAGGCACGTGTGGCCCCAGGCGTCTTCATCATGCCCTGGGCTACCCCTGCTGACGCTCCTAGCATCCACCAGACAGCGGCTCTGGTTTGAGGGTTAGAGCTGAGGCTGCAATTGTGGCTGCTTTAGTGCAAAGGGCAGTTCTTATCCACGGGGTAGTGTCTCACTGGCCCTTCCCATCCAAAACCCAAGGCTTGGGGAACCCTGGACCTTCCATCCCCCATAATTTGATGCCTCCTTCTCCTCCTTCCTCACTGCCGGCAAGCTTATTTAGATTCATAAAGACTTTATAAGGAGACTGCTGTGGCTCTGAAGGACTGCTACCCACAAGGTCGGTGGTTCAAACCCACCAGCTGCTCCATAGGTGAAAGATGCCACTTTTTGCTCCTGTGAAGATTGACAGCCTTGGAAACCCTACACAGCACTGTTAATGAGTTAGAACTGACTCCACGGCACCTAGCAAGACCCTATAGGGCAGAGTAGACCTCTGTATGGAAGAAGACTGCTTCATCTTTCTCAGCACCACCAGTGACCCCTTTTAAGTCCATAGCAGTTGAATGTCAGCATGCGTTTGTTGAGTCCCTGAGACCCCAGTCATGGTTCATCAGCCATTTATCTTGGTATACTGACATAGTCCCTGCCCACCCTGGAGTCCATGGTGGGATGGGGAGGCTGTGGCTGCTCACAGACATCAGAGCCACAGTACAACTTAGACATATTGAGGCAGAAAGAAGGTGCCTGGGAAGTCAGACAGAAGAGAGATGAGTTTAGGAGCAGGTGGAAATTCTGAGTCTGTTCAGGAAGGTGATTTCTGTAGCAGAATATCCCTCTAGGAGTGTGGCTAAAATGTGTGGCCTTAAAGGCATAACTTTAGTGTTGTTGTGTCTTGTTGTGCAAAGTTCCTGGCTCCTGTGTTCCTCTTGACCAATTAGATCACTTATCCTATTACCCATCTGTTTTAGTTGTAGACCCCCAGTGAGAGGATTGGCCAAGTGGCAGCATCGATGGACTCAAGTGTGGCAACAGTAGTGAGGTTGGCCCAGGATTGGGCAGTGTTTCGTTCTACTGTGCATAAGGTCGCTACTGAATCGATGGCACCTAACAACAACAACAACAGGTGCTGCTGTAACAGGAATACTACAAGTAGTTAGTTTTAACAACCAGACATTTATTTTCTCACAGTTAAGAGGCTAGAAGTCCAAATTCAGAGCACCAGCTCTGGAGAAAGACCCTTGTCTCCTTTTAGCATTTGTAAGCCCTGTATTCCTTGGAGGTCTCCAGGTGTCTTGACACCAATCATTCCCTGGACCTAGGAGCTTCATAGTGCAGGGACCTCAGGCCCAAAGAACTCACTCTACTCTTGGCTCTTCTTTCTTGGTGGTCACGTCTTTCTCTTTTTGTCTCTTGAAAGATAAAAGATTTTGTTTACCATGCCCTTGTATGAAGGGCCTGGGTTGTTGTTGTTATGTACCATGGAGTCGGTTCTGACTCATAGTGAGTCTGTACAGGATTTCTGACGCTGTAAATCTTTACAGAAGCAGAAAGCCTCGTCTTTCTCCCCCGGAACAGCTGGTAGTTTCGAACTGCTGACTGAGATTAGCAAGCTGATTTTTAACCACTACGCTACCAGAGCTCCTTCGGATCAGGGTAGTTGTGGGATTAAGGGTGTTATATTGCTGTAGTGTAAACACTGGACCGCAAGGTCAGTTTGAACTGTAAGATTTAGTGGTTCAAATCTACCAGCTGCTCATAGGAAACCTTATACAGAATTCATTGTATGAGTTGAAACTGACTTGATGGCCCTTAGCAACATCTCACCCTTGGAATCCTGGTGTGTTGCTATAGGTTAAGCACTATAGACACAGGATAAGCTAGCTGCAAGGTTGGTGGTTCAAATCCACCAGCTACTCCTAGAAAACGCTATACAGAACCTACTTGAAGGCATTTAACAACAACAATAACATCCTACCCTGAATCCTCTTGGTGGTTTATCACACCAGATCATTTCATGGGGGAGCATCACATAACTGCCAAACGCTGAGAATCTGGGCCCAGCCAAGCTGACATGTATTTGTTGTTGTTGTTAAATGCTGAAAGAGAAGGAACTGGGTCTGCTAGAACTGATTGGTAACATGACCTTGGAGGGGGCCACAAACAGCAAGTTCAGAAGCAAATGTTGAAAGAGACTCAAGTTTGAGAATTATTGGCGCTTAAAACTGAATTCAGTCCGGCTTTTCAGAAAAATAACAGATGCTTAAATGTTAGTGGCAAGGAAGAGAGAAGGCTATTTATTGCTCTGTCTAATGAGTAAGGTCTCAGCAAGGAAAGAACAGTTTTTACCAGTTTCTCTTGACTTGTTTTGCTCTGAGTGAGGAAATAGAAGTTAAAAGAAACAGCTCTGGTGGCCCATAATTAATGGGGGTCTTCTGCAATGTTCATGAATTAAAAACAAAGCTTCTGGTTGTCTGTTCAGTAGACTTGTTGACTCCTTGAGGGCAGGTGATGGATTCCCCACCTGTGCAGTGCCTACTGGACCTGGCCCAGGGCTGAGCATGTGAAGGCAGTCAGGGAGCCACTGACTGAGGCCCATCCTCCTGGTCTTCTTTCTTTTCCAGAGCGAGTACATTGCTCCGTGTGACTGCCGGCGGGCCTTCGTCTCTGGATTTGATGGCTCTGCGGGTGAGTCTCCAGATTCTCCCTCTGTTCCTGCTGTATCTTTGTTCTCTTCCCAAAAATAACGGGACCAAATTTCAGCCTGTGATACCAAACCAAAAAGAAAATGCAAAGCAGACATTCCCCACTGAGCCTCAGCGAAAGGGGTGTGAGTTCCCAGCAGGCCTGGCTTCCTACGGTCAGCTGTTAGTGACCCCTTTCTCCTCTCTCTGCCTTTGCTTTTAAATTTTAAACATTTTTGAACATTTTATTGATGTCCTGGTGTGGCACTGGAGGATAAGCACTGGACTACTAACCACAAAGTTGGTGGTTCAAACCCACCAGCCACTCCTTGGAAACACTATACAGGGTCGCTGTGAGTCGGAATTAACAACAACCACAACACACAAAAAAGAGTATCAGTGAAATTCAATATATGTGTGTAACCAGCACCACAAATTAAAATTTGGACATTAATGGCACTTATGGCGCTGTGGGATAAAGCACTGGACTGCAAGGTTTGAACCATAGGTTGGTTTGAACCACCAGGTCGCTGGTTCAAACTCACCAGCTGCTTCTTGGAAACGCTATACAAAGTTGCTGTGAGTCAGAATCAGCTCAATGGCTTGGCAGTTAACAACAATGTAACCCCTTGCCTTAACTTTTACAATCTACCTTGAATGGTAATTCTCTAAGAGCTTGGCTTTTGGTCTTTCTATTTCCACTTTAGGTTTAAATAACAATGTGAAACCACATGGGTGCCCTGCCCTAACTTTTCCCAAACTGAGTTTCCCTTGAGTACATGCAGGGTGGGTTTCCCCTCTCAGACTTGCTAGACTTGGCGGGCTCCTCTCCCCACACAGTTAGTACATTGCTTTCTTTGGTGAAGTGCTTGTGTTGGTTGGCACATTATGACTAGTTTTGGCTGAGCCTCTGCTGAAAGGTCCATGTTCTGCCAGGCCTGTGGGAGCTGATTCCCTGCATACTCACGGTCCTGCTGGCCTCTGGGAAAGGTGAGGCAGCAGTAGAGTGACCGTGGTCACTGAGCAGAAACGCTTCCAGCTCAGTCTCGTGGATCGTGAGACCACTCTGGCTGTAACTCTGCAGACCCTGTCCATTGACCTTGACACACACTATGCACAGTGGGTCCCTTCTGTCCAGAAAGGACAAGTGCCCAGGCAGTGTACAGTTCCCAAGACTGTTTCCTTCAGAGCATGACCTACCGCTGGTTCTTCTCTTGCTCCCGGGAAGTTTCTTTGGGGTTGAGGACCCACAAGTCAGTGGTGGTTGGTGGCTGGGTCACAGAGCAGCAGCTGTCTCTCACTGCTCTTACCCACTTGCTGCCACTCTGGGCAGTTGCTGGGGACTTCCCAGAGCCTTGCTCTTTGCTTTGCTCCCTGCTCCAGGTACAGCCATTATCACAGAAGAGCATGCTGCTATGTGGACCGACGGGCGCTACTTTCTCCAGGCTGCCAAGCAGATGGATAACAACTGGATGCTCATGAAGATGGGTGGGTAGAGGAGTGGCCAACCCAACCCGAGGGCCACAACCTCTTTAGGACCCTTCCTAGGGGCCATCTAGACCTTTTGAGAACCAAAGGAATCCCAAGAAAATGGCATGCTTATCCTTGTATATCATTGTGCAGTTGATGTGGGGTGGAGGGGGTCCTGGTTGAGGGTGAAATCCATGAGTGGCACAAATGATTAAATGATTAAGTGCTCAGCTGCTAATTGAAAAGGAGCTCTGGTAGCATAGTGGTTATGAATCGGGCTGCGAACTGCAAGGTCAGCGGTTCGAAACTAGTAGCTGTTCCGTGGGAGAAAGATGAGGCTTTCTGCTCCTGTAAAGACTTACAGCCTCGGAAACTCACACAGGAGGTCCTGGTGTGGCACTGTAGGATAAACACTGGCCTGCTTATCAAAAGGTGTGCAGTTCAAACCCACAGTTGAGCCTCAGAAACCCTGTGCAGCAGTTCAAACTCACCAGCTGCTCTTTGGAAACCCTTTATAGGGTCTCTGTGGGTCAGAACTGACTTGATGGCACTCAACAATAACAACAGCAGCATAGTAGCACCCTTCCTTCTTCTTCCATGGGTTTCCCATTTGTCCTTCTTTCTTGCCACTTCCTGCTTCCTGAGTTTGACCATGTGTCTCTGTTGGTGGAGCACTGACCCCCAGGACTGGTGTTTGTTTATGTATCAGATACATGTGTTGACAGCCATCTGTAAGGAGACCTTGGGTGATGAAAATGGTTAAGTGCTTGGCTACTAACGAAAAGGTTGGCAGTTTGAATCCACCAAGAGGTGCTTTGGAAAAAAGGCTTGGTGATCTCCTTCCAAAAGATTACAGCCAGTGAAAACTCCATGGAGCGTAGTTCCACCCTGGCACACAAGGGATTGCCATTAGCTGGAATCAACTGAAGGGCAACTGGTGGGGTTCTTAGTGTCCAATGACATTTCAAATAGCAGTAAAAATTAGTAATAATAGTAAAAAAAAAAAAAACCAACATTTTAGGAAAAAAGAAATGCAAATAGACGTTCAAATACTTTATTGTTCCACCTTGGTGGATCACTTTCACTTGCATGCCTTGGATCCTGGGCTCCACACTGTAGGGGTGTGTGTGGTGTGTGGTGGCACACAGGAGGGCTGAGTCCTGCCTTCCAAGCTCCACTCTAGTCTGCCATCTCTTCTCTAACCCTACCTCATTGGGTGTGTCTCTCCTCAGCAGGAGGATGCTGCTGGGTTTGATTGGTCAGTGAGTGATTTATCCCTGCGGTTTTGCCTCAGACTTGTCTGCTAGGAAATGAAATGCTTTCATCTTGTGAAAGTTTCACTCTGTGCCGTAGAAGAAACTTCACGAATAAGTTTTGCAGCTGGAAAAAAACAAAGGATGAAAGAATCATGTAGCAAAAATGGCAATTCAGTGCCAGCTTCTAGAAAGCCTTTTAGAACTGGGAGTCCTGAGCTCATTTCTGTAGGAACTTTTGAACTTCCCTTCCTTGATTATGTGGTTATCAGTAGTCAGTGAAAAAAATGAAAAGACAAGGACTGTGTTTAGAATAAATGCACTCTCATAAAAATAGGTGTGTGTAAAAAAACCTAACAATCTTATAAGTAGTTAAGAAGAGTAGCTATCCCAAAATAGAAGAGAATGGCTTAAACTAGAAGAAATCTGGAATATAAAATACTTTTCTTTCTTGAAGCTTCCTTAGTTTCCTATGCGTAGTTTCTTACTTGAATAGAAAGTTGGTTTGATCTGGGAAGCCTTGAGTCCCTCTGGCCAGCCTCAGAAACATGCATTCAGTCCTCTGGGCCTTTGCCTCTATCTAGGCCCTGCCCCTTGGAGACTAGGAGAGAGCCGGGTGAGGTGCTTTTCCTCTGAGCTGCTATGGGAGGAGGGGCTCCTAGCTCCAGGTCTTGACAGAATCACTGTTCAAGTTCCCATGCAGTGAACAGCAGTGTGAGGAGATTGGGAGTAATAAGCTGATCTTTGCGGAGACACCGTGCGTCTGTGTTGGCATGATTCCCAGGATGGTGTTTTTTCCTGGGGCCAAATGAAAATTATGTTTAAAAAAATTTTTTTTTACTTCTTACTCTCACCTTTTGCCTTCCTTTCATACTGTTGTCTTCCTGCTGTCTTCCAGGACTAAGGGAGGCTCAGATTATCCAAGTCCTGCCAATTCAGGTGCTTGATAAAGATCCTGTGATGCCAATGTCGGGAGCATGGTGGCTTCATAGGATAAGCACTGAACTGTGAACCAGAAGGTCTGCAGTTCGAGCCTACCAGCTGCTCTGTGGGAAAAAGATGAGGCTTTCCCCTCCAGTGAAGATTTAAACCCTCAGAGCCCCTATACAGGGTCGATATGAGTCAGAACTGACTTGACGGCACACAACAAGATGCCAGTGTCTATAATGGTCCTTCTGGGTAGGGCAATAGGCTTGGGTCCACGGGGAATCATGTTTTATCCATCCTTCCCTCTGTAGGTCTGAAGGACACGCCAACTCAGGAAGACTGGCTGGTGAGTGTACTTCCAGAAGGATCCAGAGTTGGTGTAGACCCATTGATCATTCCTACAGGTGAGAAGCTTTGTCCCTTCCAGCGTGGGTAAGGAAGTGGGTTCTAGACTCCTGTTCCCTCTCCTTGTGTGCTTGTGGGGTATGGAACATTTAGCAGCTCAGTGTAACCTGAGAAAGGTCACAATGAGAAGCGTTCTGCCATCCAGGTAGTTGAGCATCATGGTACGCAGTGTGGGCATTTCCTCGTCCTGAACACCTGGCATTGGGCTACAGTGGGGTCTCCTTTCAGAAGGCTCCAGGCCTGCAAGGCTTCAGCTGAATGGACTTTCAGTTCATGACAGGCCATGTGTATTTCTCCAGATTACTGGAAGAAGATGGCCAAGGTCCTAAGAAGTGCTGGCCACCACCTCATTCCTGTCAAAGAGAACCTTGTGGACAAAATCTGGACAGACCGTCCTGAGCGTCCGTGCAAGCCCCTTCTCACCCTGGGGCTGGATTATACAGGTGAGAACCACAGCTGTTCCCAGCAGGGCCCCAGCCATCACTCCACCCCTCCATTGCCTCCTTCCTAGTCCTCTGAATCCAGCTGAGCTGGAGCTGATGGGAGGGTTTTGCCTTACCCTAGCATACTGAGCATTTGAGGAAGGCCACAACTTTGTTTCTACTCCTGTAACTTGTCACTTACTTTGGTTTATTCCCTCCGGTGCTCTGTGGGAGCTGTTAAGATGGATGAATTGTTTCTTACTGAGATGCTAACTGCAATGTGTCTGCTATTAGAACCTAGAGATGTGTAGGTTCCATTCTAAGGTCTTTCTGAATAGCAAGGGTTGGCAATTCAAACTTAGCAGCTGTTTCTCGGAAACACTATATAGAGTAGCTATGACTCAGACCTGACTTGACAGCATTTAACAATAGGTTGACCTTTCTGTCCAACTATCATCTTGTACTCTGCTTCAGTGGCTTTGGGGCGCAGGTGGGTTTCTTTGGCCACTGTGTTAGTGGTAGGTGAGTAGCAAGTTATGTGAACGTTTGTGGCAGACAAGAGAAAGGTGTGGATTTTAGGAAAACAGTGAAGGGTGCAGAGGGAGGAGCCTAGAAGGTGGGGCTGCAGAGGAGGGAGCCTTGCTATAGAATCAGAAAAGGCCAGGTGGATGAGGGATGTCTGGAATGTAGGCTGAGTGCCCAGAGGGGTCCTGGGAAGAAAGCATTGCAGCCCAGACTCTCAGCCAAGTTTTAAACAGCATTCCTGAGGTGATCTTCAAAGCAGTCTGTGGTTGTGGGGCAGCCCATAGCTTGCGCTCTTGCTTGACACCCTCACCAGTGGGCTTTGCAGATTGGGAGGATGTGCCCAGTGCATGACCCAGGGTCAGCTAAACATTTTCCATCATCATCTTTTGAATTTTTTTAGCAAAACAGCGGCTCTGACGTGTTGCCTTTGGAGAGCTCAGGGCCTTTGCGTGATGGGGTGGCAGCTCTGATAAGGGGAACCCCTTGAGGACTGTGATTTCATCCCGAGGAGCAGAAGGGAGGCCAGGGCTGTGTCTGACAGAGCAGGTGTGATTGGAAAGAGGTAGTCCCAGGCAGTCTACCTATGTGGAATCCCTAGTCTTAGCCCCCAAAAGGTAACGTGCTTGGTGATGCTCTTCTGACCTGAGACTGGGCGAGCTCTCTGGGAAGGTAGGGGAGGGTGGTGGGGGTGTGCGTTCTGGGCGCTGCCTGTGCCAGTTAGTGCCAGTTTAACGGCTTTCACTTCTGGATTGTAAGTCCCACTATGCATGGCTCCAGTAGAAACCACGGTGGCTAGCATAGGGCCTGGCAGATAGCAATGCTAATACCAATGCCTAGATGTTGAATTAGACATTTTCTAGATGAACAGATGAAGTAATTTTACTGGCAGACCATTTAGGATTCACTTGGACAGTCACAGCGCTCGTGTGGGGCTTGAGTATAGGCCTCCTTCCTGCCCCAGCATCCTGGGAGAGATTTTGCTGGTGAAGAATGCTTGGGACAGTTCCTTTCACCTGGATCGTGTACGTAGTTCCGGGCCTGGAGTCTCAGACACGTATGTTTCTTGCAGGTGTCTCCTGGAAGGAAAAGGTTGCAGACCTTCGGTTGAAAATGTCTGAGAGGAACGTGGTATGGTTTGTGGTCACAGCCCTGGATGAGATTGCATGTGAGTGCTCTGGTTTCACTGTTGGGGCGTGCTTTCTGGTCTTGCCTTTTGTTTTCTCGGAATGCCATTGGGCTTTCTGAGTGCTCTGGGAGGAAGCAAAAGATGATGTCTTCAAATGGGTACAAGAGATGTCAATAACAATGAAGGAGAAAGAACTACAGGCTGCAGGTGAGGGGACTGTAGCCTTGCCCAGAAACAGCATTACTGTCAGAATCTATGGTTCTACCCACCTCCAACCCGTCTCTGATGAGGGGCTTTCCTGCCTCCCTAAGTGTCTCACAAGTGGGATCAAAGGATATAGTTTTTCTTTTCCCTGTTGTTCTAGAATGTTCTAGAAGCATTTTTACCTTGGAAGTTCCTGACCAAGCCTTCTGACACCTTCACAATTTTTCAGACCTTAAATGTCTCTCATGCATTTGTTTAGTGCCTCTGTCATATTCTCGGACTTGACGGCAGCCATTTTATTTGTTTTTGATTGTTGTAGGTATTCCCAGTTAGAGGGACTGTGTGTGGTGTGACTTTTGACCTACATTGACACTTAACTGTCAGAAAGGTTGTACAGTGGGATATGAACCTGCTCATTTTGCCCCACTTCACCCTATACATCAACATTTAAAAAGTGCGAGTACCTAGGTGCTCTGGTTACGAATCGGGCTGCGAACCTTAAGGTCAAGCAGTTCGAAACTACCAGCTGTTCTGCTGGAGAAAGATGAGGCTTTCTGCTCCCGTAAAGATTTACAGCCTCGGAAACCCTGTACAGGGTCGCTATGGGTCGGAACTGACTTGACGGCACTTAACAACAACAACAAAGGTCACTGGTAGCGTAGTGGTTACAAATCAGGCTGCGAACCTCAAGGTCAGCAGTTAGAAACTACCAGCTGCTCCACGGAAGAAATACGAGGCTTTCTGCTCCCGTAAAGATTTACAGCCTCGTAAACCCTGTTCAGGGTCGCTATGGTTTGGAACCGACTCCACGGCAGGCACATAAGAACAACAAGTACCTAGGTAAAAAATGTCGCCTCTGTGCTTTACTTTGAGAGCTGTTATTTTAAAACACAGGCAGCACCGTTTACTCCAGGGCCTTGTTTTGCTCTCTGGTCAGGAAGCCCTGGGACCAGAGCTGTGCTCTCTGCTAGCCCCTCTCGGTTTTTTTCAGATGTACAGGGACCTCACCAAACCCTGATGTTGCCTCAGGTGGGTCCTCCACCCAGTGGCTCCGGTTTCACACAAGGATTGCTGACTCACTGCTGTTCTTTCTGCCTCTCATGGAAAGTTCTACCTGTTTTGGGCTCATTGACCCATAATGAGAGAGGACCTCAGTTGGCCTCCTTTGTGGGTGGGTCTCTGTGTTTCTACCTTAGGTCGTTTACCTGAGAAGGGAAAGAAAATGATTGTCTTTCCTTCGTTTTGGGCCCTAGATGTTTTTCTGCCTCAGGGCCAGCCCTGGCAGATCCCCACCAGGCGGGCCTTTTCAACTCTTTGTTTGGAGGGCATTTCTCTGCTTTCTAACTAGTAACTCTTCTATCCCCTGCTCCAGACTGTGACGGGGTGGTTTAAGAAACAGCTCTGGTGCCACCCTGTGGCAGACGTGAGCACAACTACAGTTTAGAGGGGAAACCGGGAGCTGGTTCCCGCCTTTCTGAGCTGCCATTGCTGTGTCTTAGGATGGCTGGACTCCAGCTGATGAAGCCTTCTCTCCTCCTACAAGCCGCCCCTAAAGTCCCAAGTCAGGCAGGTGACAGGGACTTTGATTTTCTTTTTTAGGGCTGTTCAATCTGCGAGGATCAGATGTGGAGCACAATCCAGTATTTTTCTCATATGCAGTCATTGGACTGGAGACGATCATGTGAGTGCTTGCCCCACCCCGACAGGACAGCTCCTCACAGCCTCTGTTAACTTCCTACTCAGGCCCACCAGAAGGAGCTCTGATAGTGTAGTGGTTACAAATCGGGCTGTGAACTGCAAGGTCGGCGGTTTGAAACTACCAGCTGTTCTGTGGGAGAAAGATGAGGCTTTCTGCTCCCATAAAGGTTTACAGCCTTAGAAACCCTGTACAAGGTTACTATGAGTCAGAACCTGTTCCACGGCACACAACAACAGGCCCACCAGGCTTGCCTGCTGCTTTATGAATGCACCTTTTTCATTTTGTCTCCTTTAATCGTTGTTGTTGTTAAGTGCAGCTGAAAGTCATAGTGATCCTGTATAGGATTCAGAGGAGTGGCTCATGGCTTTGAACCACAGACCCTGTGCTTATCCTTCAGTCCAGTGCTGATCCTTCAGTCCCATGTCAGGACTCCAGTCTGCTTTAATGGGAGGCATTTATTTATATCCTGCCTCTTTTAACCCCAGAATGATTGAAAATTTCTGTGCAAGGATCTGTTTTACATGAGGTGAGAGAATACGTCGTAAGACCATCAGGGCAAACCTGGACTGAAGGTAATTCACAGAATTCTGGATTCAAGGGCTTGTTCAGGCCATAAGTTTGATGCCAGGCTTTCTAGCAACCAGTGCCAATAGGTATATAGGTTTATAGAACTCTAAGTTCATAGTACAAATCAGCCCAGTTGTCCAGAAGGTCAGAGGTCAGATGTGACACAGGAAAATCCCCTCAGTTGAGCCTGGCTACATTGTCAGAGCATTGCAGTGGCCTTCCCATCAGTTCTCTCCTGTCTGGACAGTGGCCTTCATCCATACAGCATATTCATACAGCAGCTCTTGTAGCTGCTGGGGACCCTGAGGTCAAACAGACAGACAGGGTCTTGGCTTGTTGTTAGGTGCCATGGAGTTGGTACCAACTGATAGCAACCCGATGCACAACAGAACGAAACACTACCCGGTCCTGGGCCAACCTCACAATTGTTGCCACACTTGAGCCCATTGATGCTGCCACTTTGCCAATCCATCTCACTGGGGATCTTACTCTTTTTCTCTGACCCTCCACCTTACCAAACATGATATCCTTCTGACCAAACATGATATCTTTCTCCAGCTTCTGGTCCCTCCTGACAATATGCCGAAGTATGAGAGACAAAGTTTGGCCATCCTGCTCTCCAAAGAGCACTCTGGCTGCACTTCTTCCAACACAGATCTGTTGGTTCTTTTGGCAGCCCATGGTCCTTACACTATTTTTCCCCAACACCATAACTCAAAAACAGCAATTCTTCTACGGTCTTCCTTATTCATTGTCCAACTTTCACATGCATATGAGGTTATTGGAAAATTCCATGGCTTTGGTCAGGCGTACCTTAGACCTCAAGTTGATATCTTTGCTCTTCAACACTTTAAAAAGGTCTTGTGCAGCAGATTTGCCTAATGCAGTATGTCATTTGATTTCTTGACTGCTGCTTCCATTAGTGTTGATGGCTGATCCAAGAAGAATGAAGTCTTTGACAACTTTAATCTTTTCTCTGTTGATAAGGATGTTGTTTATTGGTCCAGAGATGAGGATTTTTGTTTTCTTTACATTGAGATGCAACCATACTGAAGGCTGTGGTGGTCTTTGGTCTTCATCAGTAAGTATTTTAAGTCCTCTCCACTTTCAGCAAGCAAGGTTGTATCATCTGCACATCGCAGGCTGTTAATGAGTCTTCCTCCAATCCTGATGCCACGTTTTTCTTCAAAGAACCCAGCTTCTCGGATTATTTGCTCAGCATACAGGTTGAATAAGTATGGTGAAAGAATACGACCCTGTTGCCCACCTTTCTTAATTTTAAACCATTTAGTGTCCCCATGTTCTGTTCAAACAACTGTCTCTTCGTCTATGTACAGGTTCCTCATGAACGCAATTGTTCTGAAATAATCATACTTCACAATGTTGTCATAGCTTGTCATGTTCCACACAATTGAAGGCCTTTGTGTAGTAAAAAAAGCACAGGTAAACATCTTTCTGGTATTCTCGGCTTTTAGCCAGGATCTATCGGACATCAGCAATGATTTCCCTCATTCCACATCCTTTTCTGAATCTGGCTTGAACCTCTGGAAGTTCTCTGTCAATGTATGGTTGCAGCCGTTTCTGTATTGCCCTGAGTAAAACTTTACTCTCATGGGATATCAAAGATATTGTCTGATGATTTCCGCATTCCGTTGGGTCACTTCTCTTTGGAATGGGCACAAATATGGGTCTCTTCCAATCAGTCTTCCAAATTTCTTGGCAGAGATGAGTATTTCCATTGCCGCCTCATTTTCTTGAAAGATTTCAATTTGTAGTCCATCAATTCCCGGTGCCTTTTTCATTGGCAGTTCCTTCAGTGCATCTTGGACTTCCTCCTTCAGTATCATTGGCTCTTGATCATATGCTATCTATCTCTTGAAACGGTTAAACATCAACCATTTCCTTTTGGTACAATGGCTCTGTGTAATCCTTCCATCTTCTTTTGATGCTTTCTGCATTATTCAGCAATTTGCTCAGAGAATCCTTCAATAACAAAAGTCAAGGCTTGAATTTTTTCTTCAGTTTCCTCAGCTTGAGAAATGCTGAGTGTGTTCTTCCCTTTGGGTTTTCTGACTCCAGGTCTGTACACATTTTGTTGTAATACTTGACTTTGTCTTCTCCAGCTTACCTTTGAAATTTTCTGTTCAGCTCATGTACCTCCTCATTTCTTCCATTTGCTTTAGCATCTCTACATCGGAGAGCAAGTTTCAAAATATCTTCTGACATCCATTTTGATCTTCCTTCTTTCTTTTCTTCTTAATGACTTTTTGCTTTCTTCCTGTATGGTGTTCTTGATATCATTCCACAATTCTTCAGGTCTTCGGTCTTTAGTGTCTAATGTATCAAATTTGTTATTCAGATGATCTCTAAATTCAGGTGGGATGTATTTAATGTCATATTTTGGCTCTTGTGGACTTGTTTTCATTTTCTTTAGCTTCAGTCTGAATTTGCATATGAGCAATTGATGGTCTGTTGCACAATCTTCTCCTGGCCTTGTTTTGGCTGATGATAATGGATCTTTTTCACCTTCTCTTTCCACAGATGTAGTCAATTTGATTTCTGGTGAGGTTCATGTGTATAGTCATCTCTTATACTGTTTAAAAAGGTATTTGATATGAACATATCATTGATTTTGCAGAATTCTATCATGCATTCTCCAGCATCATTTCTGTCACCAAGGCCATATTTTCCAACTACTGATCCTTTTCTTTGTTTCCAACCTTTGCATTCCAATTGCCGGTGATTATTAATATATCTTGATTGCATGTTTGATCAGTTTCAGATTGAAGAAGTTGGTAGAATGCTTCTATTTCATCCTCACTGGCTTTAGTGGTTGGTGCATAAAATCGAGTAATAGTGGTATTAACTGGTCTTTGCTGTAAGCACATGGGTATTATCCTATCACAGACAGCGTTGTACTTCATGACAGAGCTTGATATGTTCTTTTTGATGATGAATGCAACACCACTCTGCTTCAATTTGTCATTCCTGGCATAGTAAACCGTGTGGTTGTCAAATTCAAAATGGCGATTACCAGTCCATTTCAGCTCACTAATGCCTATGATACCGATGTTTATGCGTTCCATTTAATTCTTGACAATTTCCAGTTTTCCTAGATTCATACTTTGTATATTCCATGCTCCGATTATTAATGGCGTCATGTCATCACGGTCGACTCTGCTTTGAGGAGGCAGCTCTTCTCCAGTCACATTTTGAGTGCCTTCCAATCCGAGGGGTTCATTTTCTGGCACTATATCTGACAGTGTTTCTCTGTTATTCATAAGGTGTTCAGTGACTAAATATTTGGAAGTAGTTCGTCTCTCCTTCTTCCTAGTCTGTCTTCGTCTGGAAGCTCATCTGAAACCTGTCCACTGTGGGTGAACTTGCTGGTATTTAAAATACTGGTGGCATAGCTTCCAGAATCATAGCAACTCACAAGCCACCACAGTACGACAAACTGACAGATGTGTGGTGGGTTCCTGGCTTAGCGTTGGGGATATGAGAGTGTCCTGGGGGATTCAGATGCTTCAGTGGCACTTTTTGGTCAGGTGGGTTTGAGGGTCAGAGAATAATGAGGAACATAACTGAGCAGAGATGAAGGTGAGTATGACTGAGACAGGCTGTTAGGTGGGTGGTGGGCTGGGGAACAGGGCTGGAGAGGAAGGGTGGGCCAAGCAGCATTCTCTGCATCTGTGGCAGGCAGGCCGGGTGTGGGGGAGCTGGCATGTGTGGAGGTGGTACAGTGTGGTGTGGTTGCAGCCAGAGTGTGAGGCCAGAGGTGAGCAGGACCACTTCAAAAGGACCTTTTTAGTCATGTTTACGAGCTTGGACTTTGACTTGAGGTCAGTGGGGAGCTGTTGAAGGAACTTTCCAGAGGGAGCTCCAGGATCAGACATGAAAGACTATCAAATCATGGCTGTGAATGTGGAGGGGTGGGGACAAGACTAGAAGAGGTAGGGCCACCTGGAGGTGGTGGCACTAGTCCAGGGGAGAGATGGAGGTGCCCGAGTCTGAACTTGAAAAAGGATAAAGTGGGCAGATTTGATGAGGATGTAGGCCTCAGGTCGAAAGATCCTGTTGAATTGGGGAAGGAGAAGACTAAGGAGGACAATGGCCAGGTCCTGGCCTAAGCAATTGGGTGAATGGTGATAGTGCTTACCTGGACAGGGGGCACAGACTGGGGAAGGAAAAGCTGCTTGGCTCTGACTTGAGATCCCGTGTGTATGTGTGTGTGTGCCCCTCATCTGCTCATGCGTGTGCCTTCCCTTCCCTGCCACCCTGTGGCTCCTCTGCAGGCTCTTCATTGACGGTGACCGCATAGATGACCCCAGCGTGAAGGAGCACCTGCTTCTTGACTTGGGCCTGGACGCTGAGTACAGAATCCAGGTGGTTCCCTACAAGTCCCTCCTGAGCGAGCTCAAGGCCCTGTGTGCTGACCTCTCCCCGAGGGAGAAGGTGTGGATCAGTGACAAGGCCAGCTATGCTGTGAGCGAGGCCATCCCCAAGGTTGGTGGCCCCACTATGGATCCTCTCTAGCCTCCCGGACTCCAGCTGCTAGCCCCTACCTGCCCTGGAGTCATAGTGAGAGTCTGGGCTTTGAGAGTTGGGAGGGACCCTGACCTGGGTTTCCCAGAGTAAATTTTGGTGTATGCCTGATCAAATATAGCATATGAGATCATGATGTAAAAATGATTTCTGAAGACAAAGTTGAATTTAATAAGCTAAATGGGTTTTCAGAGTTCCTGAGAGTAAAGGGGTGGCAGCACCCTGCCGTGCCCCCTGAATTCTCACCACTTGTGAGAGTCCTTGATTTGGAAAAGCGTCCTCTACACCGTGTCCTTCCCATCCCCCTCCTGTCCAGCTACATTTCAGTTAAGGGAACCTGAGGCCCAGGGCTTGGTGAGTTGAGGATTTGCCTGCGGTCCAATGATAGTGCTAACCCCACCTTTTTCTGAACCCCTGCTGGGCAGTGCTAGGCAGCTGACACCCGTCTCCTCATTGACTTAGGGTTGGGGGCAGAACTGGAATCTGGTTCACATTAGATGGAGCCTTTTCTACTGTGTGGCCCTGGGCCTATGACAAGTCCAGTGATGTCTGATCCACTGAGCAGTGGTCATCCTGGGAAAAGCACAGTTAGGGCCTCCAATCCTGGCTTTCCGCTGTCACTCTGCTGTGGCCTCTAGCAAACCCCTCAGTTACTCAGAGCGTCTAAGGAGAATGAAGAGAGTGCGTGCCCTTGAGGAGCACTGTGCACCTGGGAGGCAGAGTTCCAGCCTGTTCCCACTCCTGCAATATCAGACCATTGATTGTGGCAGAGGTGTAACCCCTAGCTGAGGGGAGGGGTGGGAAGACCTTCCTCATCAGACCTGTGCATCCTGGGCAGCAGGAAAGAGCCCCCTTTGAGTAACAAGAAAGGATTCTTCCTTTCTTGTTGTGATTGGTTAGTGATCTCTGACCACCAGCCCTGGAGCCTGGAAAACCACTATCTTGCTGATGGCTGGCAGCCAGCAATCTCAAAGAGCTTGGGGGTGGGAGATAGACGAGAAATACCTGTTTAATGTGCTTTCTCTGTTTGAATGAGCTCAAATCCCTGCATGATGCTCTAGGAAACATCAACTAAAATGTGGAGGTGGTCTTGGGGCCCCAGGGGACAACTGGGTAGGTCCTACGGGGAAGCTCTTCAAATGAGTTGTCTGAATTGTGTTGTTCTTGGTCCTGGTGAGTGGAGCCAAGCTTGGTTTCCCATGTTACTGCCCCTGCCTCTAGGATCATCGCTGCTGTATGCCTTACACCCCCATCTGCATCGCTAAAGCTGTGAAGAATTCAGCCGAATCTGAAGGCATGAGGCGAGCCCATGTAAGTAGAAGGGATGTATGGGTGGTAAAAGGCCCAGCTCCTAACTACTGTGACTTTGAGCTGGGGACAAGATCATACACAAGTTCTTGGCCTCAGTCTCTTGGTTCTGCTGGCCTTCCAGAGTTAACTAGTAAATGAAATAAGATACTCAGTGGGCTAGATCTTTACAAAGTGTAAGGCACAATGCAAAGAGATATCATGATAATAACATAGATGATAGTGATAATGGTTAAGAGGAAGCCTTTTAAGAGACCTACGTTTGGTTTTAAAGCCAGGGTTGGGTCTTGAAAAACCTGGGGCCCCGAGCTTCACTTCAGTCCTCTGGAAGAGCTGTCTGGGCTCTGAGGCTAGACCACTTCTGGTTGGTACTTGAACCATGGAATAGCTCAGGAACCCCTTTCCTAGTGATGGGCACTGCTTTAAACGAGCTTGCAGTATATACTGTAAAGACCTGCTTGCTCACAGTTTGGTTCAGTAATACAGCTCTCAGTATCAGATTAGCAATCATTCACAATGGACTCATACCACTGTATCAGTTATCTTCTCCCACCCTCTCTCACCCAGACCCATCAGGAAGAGAGTCCTTGGGGGGAAGTTACAAAGTCTGAGGCTAGAAGAGACATATTAAATAATTCACTACACCACAGGCTGGGCCCTGAGTTTGGCCATCAGATTTTCAGTAATAACTTGAAGAACTTGTCTCCATTGTTTGCCTAGATTAAAGATGCTGTTGCTCTCTGCGAACTCTTCAACTGGCTAGAGAAAGAGGTTGGTTCTCAGTCTTTGTTAAATGTGTGGGTAGAGAGTATATAGAAAAAATCTACATATGATTCCAACTGTGGAGTTCTCCATGCAATGTTGACCATGGAGTATAAGCTCTTGATTTAATTTTAGTGTTCTTTCCATCATTTTTTCTGGAAGTTTGGTGTGTATGTGTTTCAAATTCCTTTCAACTGTAGAAAACAGTAACAAGGATTAAGAAAGAAACAGATAGCACAGCAGACATTTTGTTGGGCTAGGAAATGATCTTCAGCATGTGAAAATGGCCCTTATAATAATATTGTGAGCAAGCTGATTGGATTAGGAGAAAATGATGTTTTTTTGGTACATTTAGAAATTCGGTTCAAACCTGTAACTCATATTCTCACACATGTAACTTTTTTTCATGCATTTCCTCCTTATTTAGCTTTGTGTAAAGCATTTTTATGTGTCTCAATGAACAGCGGTGATACTGTATTTTCTAGTAATCAGTTAGTATCATATCACAGTGTGAGCATTTTTGGTGGTGTGAGGGAGGCCTTACAAAATGACCCACGTGATGACGGCATCTCTTGGCTGGACTAATTTACTTAACCCATTTCTCCTGTTTTGAATTTTTTTGGGATTTAAAATTTTTTGCTATTGTCAGTAATCCTGTAATATTATCTTTTGTATGCTTGTTGTAGGATGAGTTCCTAAAATGCTTTTGAACTTTTAAACTTGAATGCATTAAGTTTTCAAAGCTTTTGGTGTGTTATACAGAGGCAGAATAGTTGAGTGCAAAATTAAACAGATAGAAACCCTTCTATGTAAGATTGTTTTGATGAAAACCTATGGAAAATCCCTCCATGCTAAAGATAACAGAAGGAGCTCTGGTAGTGTAGTGGTTATGAGTCGGGCTGCTAATCTCAAGGTCAGTGGTTCGAAACTACTCGCCATTCCATGGGAGAAAGATGAGGCTTTCTGCTCTGGTAAAGATATACAGCCTTGGAAACCCGATACAGGGTTGTTTGAGTTAAAACTGATTTCACGGCACATAGCCACCCCCCCACCCCCCCCAGCAAAGACACGAACTGTGTCCTGTAGTGTCATCAGTGGGCTGTGGGAACTGAGGAAACAGTAAGCTGTGGACTTACACCATGCATAAGAGACACACATGAATTTAATTGATTTCACCAGGTGATTTCTAAGCAACTTCCCTTGTAGGTTCCCAAAGGTGGCGTCACAGAGATCTCAGCTGCTGACAAAGCTGAGGAATTTCGCAGGTGAGGATGGTTTCAGGGAGGGCCCTGACTTTCAGCACCATGAAAAGTCAGGAAGCCACCTTTCCTCTGTGTGTGTGTTGGGGTGGGGAAAGTTGGGCAGTCACATGGCACAATCCTCCCTTCTAGCTCCAACCTAGGTCTCTCTGTTCTAGGCAACAGGCTGACTTTGTGGACCTGAGCTTTCCAACCATTTCCAGTACGGGACCCAATGGCGCCATCATTCATTACGCGTAAGGCATGCCAAGGAGCATGATACCTGGCCTTGTTGCTGCTGCCGCAGAACAGCCTAAATCGAGGAGAAACAGTATTCTGCCAGAGGCCTCTGTGCCTACCTCCATGTGTCTGCTGAGACTGTTCACCTAGGGGACAGTGTTGTGGGCTTTGAGACCTTATTTTCTCTAAGCCTCTGCCTTTTGGGTGGTGCCTTCTCTTGCCTCAGATGAACGGTGTTGCTATTCTCCACCGTACCCCACATGTAGTCAGACAGATTCCACTTTTGTCTCTGAGGCTGTTATTGCTGTTAATGCCATCAAGTTGGTTCCGACCCACAGCAACTCCAAAGCTGTTGTTGTTGTTGTTAAGTGCCGTCGAGTCGGTTCCGACCCATAGCGACCGTGTACAGGGTTTCTGAGGGTGTAAATCTTTATGGGAGTAGAAAGCCTCATCTTTCTCCCGCGGAGCGGCTGGTAGTTTCGAACCACTGACCTTAAGATTTGCAGCCCGATTCATAACCACTACGCTACCAGAGTAGGAGCCCTTAAATCTGGCTGATGAGACTTTTTGAGTGTTTTTCTTTTCTGATAACTAGCCTTCTGGATGCACTCGTCCAACCATCGTGTGAGCTCCATCACCTTTATAACAAACTCTTTTTTACTAGGCACTGGGGCCCCTATTATATGTAGCACCCTATTATGTGTAGCAGAGACTGTTCTCTGCCCTATAGGCTTGAAGCCCGGCTTCTCGGTCTGTAGGGACTTTCATCAGATAGCCTATAAACAGCTGAGCCACGAGACCAGAGGGGCACTGGCACGTTTAGGACGAATCGATCTGCCCATGGAGATGATAGGGCATGCCCTTAGGCTTTGCTCAGCTCACAGCATTTTCTCCTTGGGTATTTTGAATCAGGTGCTTCCCTATTTGTGTGGTGTGCATCCATGAAACAACACTTTCATCTGTTTCTATGAGCTTGCCTTTGGCCACAGCTGTTTCCCCCTTTTTATTATTAATAACTATTTTTGGAATTTTTAGTCTTGGGGAAGGTTTAGAAGATGGGAGAGACAGTCAAGATATGACAGTTATTTCACATAAAAATGTTAAAGGGACTTTAGTTTTTGTCTCATGTTTAACTCAGATGATGAATTTCCTGGCTGGATACCATCCTAGAATTTTGTAAATAATGAAGGCATTAAGAAATTTTTCACCAAGGGAGACATGTTTGCTTCTCGTCAATAGTGTTTTTGTTGCTGTGCATTGGAAACCCATTGAGAGGCTGTGCCCTGGAGGGCTGGACGCTTGTCTGGCTGTCCTGTGTTGGCCACTCAGTTCATGTGCCCACCAGCAGCCTCACTGCTGAGGAGAGGTGGCCCCTGGCACTGAAGGAGCCTGGCTGTGCTGACATTCCCTTTCCCATGTCTCAGCACAGTGCTGTTGCCTGGAAAAGGACTTAGGGCAGGTGATTCCCTCTGTCCTGGGAAGAACCATTCCAGCATAAGAATATCACAGTCCCCTTCTTTCCCAACAAACCCCTTTTATTTTTCATCCCACATTGGGGCATTCACCTGTTTTTCTGTCTGGTGGCCTGAGGAACAAGTTGGGAGGTACCTGATAGACCAGGACTGAGGTATAGGGAGCAGGAGGTTGAGGCAGGAGGCTCTGCCCCAGCCCTCTAACACCAGTGAGCTCTGTGCTGACTCCTGACTTTCCTCTTCCCACTTCCAGGGACTCCAGCTTGGGCCAGGTGATTGTACTGATTTTAGCAGCTTTTCTCTTGAACATACAATGTTCCAGATAAAAACCAAAGAAAAGTTAAAGAAATACAAGTTATTCTCCCTTCCCTTAAAGATCCATTAACTGAGTCTTAGTATTAGTTGGCATAATTGTCCCAAGAATAGTACAAGGAACTCTTGTATACCCACTTCCCAAAGTCATTTAATGTTTACATTTGTGGAGTAATTGACTTTTAACTTTCTTAGGCCAGTCCCTGAGACGAATAGGACCTTGTCCTTGGATGAGGTGTACCTCATTGACTCAGGAGCTCAGTACAAGTAAGTGAACTGGGGCTGCCATGGGACTTGGCAGCTGAGTAGGCAAGCCAACCTCTCACCGAGAACACACGGCTGGTGTTGGGATCAGTTGGGTCATGGAATTCTGAATGCTAGCAGAATTCCGGAAGCTATCCGTTCTACATCAGGGATGTAGCTGAGGGAGTTTTAAGAGATGCCCTCAGTATTTTCAGGGTCTTTGTCTAGTAAGCCCCTTGCCATCTGAATAGAAATAATCAGTTTCAGCCTCTTGTGGGAAGACGGTAGTGGAAATAGGAGCACTATTTACGTTGCCATCTTCCCACAGCTTCATCTCAGCAATGGTGTTAACCTGTGGAACAGCCTTCGGATGGAGACCAAGAGTCTGAGTGCCAGGGGCTGGCCAAGTTCACGCCCACGACACCCGGCCATCCTTGTAGTCACACACTGTTTCATTTTGAAGTCAAAGCTTAGTTTGATTGAAAATGTATCTGTCCTTTCTTGGGCAGGGATGGAACCACAGATGTGACTCGGACCATGCACTTTGGGACCCCTACAGCTTACGAGAAGGTAAGGTGGAAGCAAAACACTTGAGAGGTCTTTTCTGCTTAGTTAAGAAGATAATTGCTTTTATGAAACGGGATGGTTTAAATAAGTAAAAAAAAATTAAAAAAAAAAAAAAAATATATATATATAGAGAGAGAGAACAGTGAAATAGCTCAATACTGTGGAGTCAGCCTTATCTCTTCTGGGGGACTTGCTTAATGAATTACTGGTGGGCCGGTCACTTGGAGGAGTTTAAATAGCATTCTGTTAAGTTCAAGGCAGCTCAGACTCAAGTTGAAACAGCTTTGGTCTTTCTTCTGCGTCAGGAACTCATTGGAGGTGGAGATGGGGGCGTAATGGAGCCTATGTTTGACAAACAATGTCTAGATTTGATTCTCAAAGGACCTCCCTCCATCCCCCACCCACTCACACACACATTTCTGTGACTTAACTCTCTCAGAATCCTCTGAAATGACAGTCACTGTTCAGCTACCGGACTGTCTGACATGGCCATGAAGACTGGTGTGTCTGACGTGGAGCAGACTGTGAGGTACAGAGGTCCATCCAGGAGTTCAGAGAGAACTAGTCTTAGGTCTTCTTTGCTACTTCCTGGCTCTGTGAGTCACTTACTGTCTATAAAAATGAAGACAAGAAGATTCACTTGTCCGACTGGTCCTGAAGGTTCCTGTGAGTCCAGCGAATTTCTGACTCATAGGCCCTGCTCAGTATATGTTGGCCGCGTCTCTGAGTTCATCTTTTTTCTAAGGGAGCTCCTTCAGGAGGTCTCTCCAAGGAAGAGCGTCTCGGAAGATACTGTGGGACATTTGGCCCCTGCCTTGCCCATTTGTGGGCACCAGCACCTTAAAAGAGTTTAAACCTTGGTCCAGGAGACCCTTTGTGGTGATTCTTGTGCTGTGAGAAGAGCCCCTGAGCAGATTGAGGAGGTTTTGGTCCTGACTCACCACCTTACTGGCAAACCATATAACCTTCTGAAGAGTGATTTTCTCAGGCAGTGAGGATAACCTTGAGTATATGAGGGGCCTTCACAAAGTTGATGGAAACAGTCCATGATCTCTTCACTCCATTTTTCCATGAACTTGTACATGATAGTAAGGAGCAGTGCGTCTGTAAAGTGAGGACAATGGTGCCTGTGTTGTGAGGCGTGGGATTCCCGGGCCCGACAAAGAGGAATCGCTCAGTAAAAGGTAGCTGGAATCAGCAGGCTTTCCAAGGCTTACGTGAGAGAGCGTGTCAGTGTTGACTACATACCAGGCTTCTGTGGGGGTCAGCTCGGATTTATTTCACTAAATTTACTTTTAAGATCTTCTACCAAGTTGGTCCCATGGCCAGACATCTTTTCTACCAGACTTTTTTTTTTTTTAACCCCAATTTGTTCTGTGGCTTTGCAAAAAAACTTAACAGGCAATAACTAAACTGTCCAAAACCAGCTGCCCCCTTTCTGCAACATGCCCTCTGGGCTTTCTTTGGCAGGAATGCTTCACGTATGTCCTCAAGGGTCACATAGCTGTGAGTGCAGCCGTTTTCCCGACTGGAACCAAAGGTAGGTGGTTCCTTCTGCCATGGGGGTGGGGGCTCTTTTTTCCAACTAGCAATCAAGCATGTCTAAGTTTGAGTGGATGGACATGTCCTCTTCCCTGCTTCAGGCCCAGCCCGGCACGTGGTATGACTGAGCTCAGAGGGCCTCCCAGGGAGTCACGCTCAGGACTGGGCCATGAGTCAGCTGTGTTCCTCTCTCCTGACCACCTATGGTGTGGAGGAAACGTGGCAGCTCCCAGAAGAGGGCAGGCCAGACATGAAGGCCTTGGGGCCTCGTGGATGGTGATGTGGCCTCGAGTCTGCCTTCAATACTGGCCCTTCTTCCAGGCTTCCTGTTGGGATTAATTTTACAGGTAGCCTGACTTTAGATGTGTACCCTTCCACTCGAGGACTGATGCAGGGGGCATTGGACTGGAAGCTCACCAGATGAGCCTTGTGTCTGGTCAGATCAGCACTTGTCTCTATGAGGCTCAGTTTCCTCCTCTGTTGTGCCTATCTGCCTGCTGTGGTCTGGTCAGAATCTTGTAATTCTGAAGTTTTAGAGCAGGGAAGGAAGCTGCTTCCCAGTCGTCTAATGCAGCCTGGCCTGCTGCTGACGTCCATTCCCTCACCCCTTCCTGGACAAAGGGTCCTCCAGTGTCAGACTGAACTCCAACGTGGCTGGGGAGCTGCCCTCCTCAAGAGCTTGGATTGTTAGAAAGTTTGTCCTTGTGCTGGGCTGAAATCTGAACCGCCCAGTAACTCTCACCCACTGGTTTTTGTTTCACCTTCTGGAATCAGACGTCTCATCTCTAGGGTGCTTTGCAGATTGAACAGTACTGTACAAATAACATCAAGTGGTTCTTTTTCAGGCCACCTTCTCGATTCCTTTGCCCGCTCAGCCTTATGGGATTCTGGCCTGGATTACCTGCATGGCACAGGACATGGGGTCGGGTCTTTTCTGAATGTTCATGAGGGGCCTTGTGGCATCAGTTACAAAACCTTCTCTGATGAGCCCTTGGAAGCGGGCATGGTTGTCACTGATGGTAGGTGACCCTTCTGTAGAGGCATATGTGGGTCCTCAAGCTTTTGTTGGAAGATTTTTTGTTGTTTCTTATTTTTAAATTATTTTCAAGCAATTTGGAAATAATTTTCCCTTATCACCTCAAGTTAATCAACAGTAAATAATTTTTCTGGTTATAAAAGTGATAAATGTTCATTTTAGAAAAAGTGAAAGTATGGAGCAGCATAAAGAAGAAAACGAATCTCTTATGTAATCCCCCTCCATCCCCCCCCCCCCCCCGGGGGAAACCTGGCTTACTATCTTGAGACGTTAGCTTTTTGTCCTTGGTATACATATGCCCCTTGTCTTATCACTGAGATTACATGAGTTTTCTGATTAAATATGCCACCTGTCACAGCCTGTGTGAGTATATTTGAATGACTGCATCCAGTATTATGGTTATGCACCATGATTGGTTTAACAGATTCCTCACTGTTGAACTTGTAACCAGTTTTCAGGAACAGCAGGGGCTTATTCTTTTGTGCATCCTGTCTGTTGAAAGTGGCCACCTGGGAGGAGACATGTGGGCTCTGATACCCAGGTTGGGTGGGCCCTTCACCTGTGTTGTTGACGAATGAAAGTCTGTGTGTGTAGGGCCCTGGTGTTGTCCGCGTCTCATGGTGGCTTCGCTTTGTTTTAGAACCAGGCTACTATGAAGATGGAGCTTTTGGAATTCGCATTGAGAATGTTGTCCTGGTGGTTCCTGTTAAGACCAAGGTATTTCTTGTTCTTTCCTTACTTCCTGTGCTCCTCAGTGGAGACAGATGAAGACTTTTGGCTTTGGAGTCCAAAGTATCCTATTCTGAGACCAATTTGGAGCCCCAGAGGTGCAGAATCCTGATATTGGGGATGTGGTTGGGAATCACTCTCCTGCCCGGTAAAGTCAGAAAGAAGTCTTTAATGAACTGGACCTCTGTACTTGAATTCAGAGAGACCCCGACAGGCCTGTGTTTCACGACTTGGGGTTCTCAGCTTGTCAGAGGCAGCTTGTCATGAAGTCTCCCCTACTTCATGGATGTTTGTTACAGGGACCAATTTGTGGGTCCCTCTCAGACCCTGACTCGGTCTTCAACACACCCTTCAGGTGATTTTTATCAAGTCAAGTTGCAAAACCCTGAGTTATACTATGGCTCAGTTTCCTCATGCAATAAAAGATGGGTGTTTCCCCTCCTCACCAACCTGTATTACCAGGTTCCCAGGGTGACACCTGAGGCTTTGCTTTAAAGACCTGCTCCTCCTCCAGTGGTTGAGGAACTTGAACAGTTGAAGAGAAATTGGCTTTAGAGCCTGCAAGGAGGCTGACTGCAGGGACTGGCTTCTCCTCTGAGCTGACGCCCTGCTCTACAAGAGGCCTCCCACCTCACTCCGACGTCCTGCATTGAGCAGAGACCCCTCTGGTTCTACACCAAGGGGAGCAGACAAATGCGTCCCTGTAGGGATGGCTGGGTCAAGGCAGACCACGTGGTTGACTGTTAAAAAGAAAAATGATCTCGGGAATTTGTACCCCAGCACAGTTTTGGGAAGTAAAAGCAAAATTGACCCTCCACCTCAAACTTACACCTGACCCCTGCTTCTTCTCTATCACTGGTGGGCACTAGCCTGTGAGCCTGCCTACACCCTCCAGTGGCAATTTCTGACGGCATAGAGGACTTCAGATTGTGCAGCAGGGAGCTCCTCGGAAGGTGGACTGTGCTCATGGGCACCCCACGTGCCTCTTAAACATGGTGACCAGCTGGCTTTTGGTTCCCAGTTACAGCAGGCTCAGAGGGGTGGCCCTGGCCTCCTGGTGGTTCACTGAGGTCAAGAGTCAAGGTTTCTGTTTTCTTCCCACAGTATAACTTCAATAACCGGGGAAGCCTGACCTTTGAACCTCTGACTTTGGTTCCGATACAGACCAAAATGATAGATGTGGATTCTCTTACAGACAAAGAGGTAATCGAGAAGACTGGGGGTGGGGTGGGGGGGCAGCCAACTTATGTTCTCTTCCCTATTTTCACTTAAAAATTCAGAGGTCTGGGCTAAGCCAGCTGAAAATTCTAGGTCTTTTAGTGACTTTTCTGTATTTGTTGGACCTTTGAATAGAGCTAGCTGTACTTCCTCCAGTCATGGTGGGGGGTTGCAGGGCTTTGTGGGTAGGGCCAGTTTGTGATTGTTTTCTAGGAGGACAGGAGTCATAGCTACACTGAGGCAGGTTTAGCATGAGTCTCCCTTACGGAAAGCCAGATGGGTGGTGGAGTCTCTTGGCCACTGCACATACCAGGTTGTTTTCCTGTGGTTCTTGACATGTTAAGGAGGTGAGAAGCAAAATGAGTGTTATTTTATGTTGTTTTCAAGTAAATGAATTGAGAGGTGGTACCAGCCCTTCTTGATTACTGCTCTGATCACTCAGTATATGAAACTCTTCACAAGATCCAGGTGCTGTTGAGTCAGTTCTGATTCATAGCGATCTTATGCACAACAGAACAAAACACTGCCCACTGAGCCCATTGCTACTGCCACTGTGCCCATCCATCTCGTTGGTGGGGGGGGGGTGTCTTCCTCTTTTTTGCTGATCCTCCACTGTACCAAGGATATATCCCTCTTCAGGGTGCTGATCTGTATCCAGGCACGCTAACTGTACCTCTGCCCTAAAAGAGAGGGCTCTTGCCTTTGACTGATTAAGAATAGTCAGATGAGGCAGGGTTTCCATATGAGCAAAAGTTTGTTATAAGAAAAAGACGGAGAGGGCTTACTGCAACACTTTACCCCTCACTCCCTGAACAAAGGCTTTGCTGGGGTTTTAAATAGTTTTAGGTGGGAAAAGGCATCATGTTTGTTTCTAGGGATAGGCAGGGATTTTTGGGAAGTGACACATTTAAGAAGGCCTGTGCTAATTCGGTGAGCATGCAGCATTTCTTCAAGATTGATTGCACCACAAAGGCCTGTGGTCGGGGCAGACAAAATTTATCATGGGATGCCACACATGCTTGGACTCAGACGTTTGAGTCCCTCCCAAGGACTGCTATTCTCTGCTCAAGCTGAAGGTCATCCTTCAAGATGAGCAGGACCAGTCCAACCTACAAAACATCTTACAAGTAGGTAAAATACAGATTAAAAAAAAAATTTCCATTGTGAATTGAGTAAAAGTTTACAGAGCAGAACATCAGTTTTATATTTACGAAATCACACATTTTGTTTCACCTCAATGACTCCAGTCCCCTCCATGTAACAACAGTTATCCCACTTCCTCCCTGTGGGTCTTATTTCCATCCCACCTGCCTTCCCATCCCTTCTCAACTTTGTTCTGAAGAAAATGTTGCCCTTTTGATCTTGAATGGTTGACCATGCCATGGTGCGCATACTTTACTAGCATTGTTGTTCCCCTATATACTTATCTACCTCCTGACTGAAAATTGAGCCACAAGGGTGAGTTCTGTTCAGACCTGAAGGGTGGTTAATGGCTGTAATCTTCAGGCTCTTCCAGTGTCTTTCTGACCATTAAGCCCAGTCTTTTTTTTAACATAAGTTTGAGGTTTATTCCACATTTTCTTTCAACTCTCTCTTGGACTTTCTAATGTGATCCCTTTCAGAGCAGTTGGTAGTGGTAGCTAGGCACCATCTAGTTCTTCTGGTCTCAGAGTTGTAGAGCCTGATGTTCACATGTCCCATTAGTCCATTGGACTAGTTGATTATAAGCATATTCACTTTCCAGCACTCTTCTGTCTTCCCCACATGGAGAGACCAATAGTTGCGCCTTAGATGAATGCTCATGAACTTTTAAGATCCCAATTGCTACTCAGCAAAAGAGAAAATAGAACATTGTCTTTGTTGACTGATATGTCAGTTGATCCTGGTGTCCCCTGAGACTATGGTCCTGAGCCTCCAGCTCGTTGCCACAAGTTTTCATTGTTTTGTCCCATCACATTCATTCATAGGTGTGTGTGCAGCAAAGGTCAGTACCCATGTACAAACGTCCTCTGTCAAACTCATTTATTCGTGGGTATACACACACTCTCCCTCCCATCCCTGTCAGCCAGTGTGTCTGTCCATGCATCTACCTGTAGAACGCTGTTGTTGCAGGCTTGTGAAAATATGGAATTCTTATGGATGGTGTGTTTTACAGTAAACATACTGTAAAATGGCAAGGTCTTGTGATTAATGCTTTCAGATTCCAAAAGGCCCCCTGGACTCCCTGTCGCAAGTCCACTGGAAAAGTTCACAGGTCTTGGAAAAAAGTTCAGATCCTACACTACTTTGGGCTCACAAAGCTTCCCAGGCCAGGTGAGGGGACAGGCTTAGAGACTGTGGTGTAATGGGATCAGGAAAGTGACCGAGGTCAGAGCAGAAACAAGCATCAAAATAGGGTGCAAACAGGCCATGCTTGATGGACAAAATAGTTCCCAGACCAGGAATCCAGAAGGACACATATCCTGAGGGCAGAGCAAGGCAGGTTGTCTGAAGCCCTGGCAAAAAGCAAATGACTTGCAAGGAGACAAGGAAAGGGCTAAGCAGGGTGGTGTTATTCTCGGAGTGAGAAGTTCTTGCTGCCCTGCGGCAGCCACTGGCTGATTCATGTGTCTCTTGAGGCAGGGACCTGACCATGGGGACACTTTTCTGTCCTCTGAGGACCGAAGAGTGGTAGGGGCTCCTCCCAGCTGGGAGCCTCTTCCCCCATATCCAGCTCACAAATGGATGGTGGGGAAGGCCATTTACTTCCGGCAGACTCATCTGTGTTTGTGCCACTCTGCTTGGTCTTTGGTGTGCTTGGTTTAGTGACAGTCTCACACAGGACACAAATGGGCTCCACTGGTATGAGTTTATTCAGCTTCCTACTTGGATACAGGACAGAAAACAGCATCTCAGCAGAATCGTGTCATGTGTGTCTCTTTGACATCTGGGCCTTCACTCCCGCCTATAAGTAATGACTTAGTGAAAAGAAATGAGACCATACAAGTGGTTATGAGACCCACCTTGCCTAGAAGCCCTGTGCCCCATAGGAAGCAGTATCTCTGTAATGGTCCTTGGGCACAGCTTCTGGAGTCTTGGCAATGGACCCTGCAATTAGATGTCTCTCTGTAATCAGGAATCCAAGCCCAAGGCGATGGATTCCTATGGAGCCCTTCTAGGTCCTCCAGAGTCTTTTCTGTTCCCAAACGAGACTCCCCGGGAGGCATTTCTCCCACATGACAATCCACTTAATCAGCCTTCCTGGGAAGCAGGTTTTGAGGGAGGTTATCTGAGGCCCGTTTTCCTTGAAGTAGGAGGACAGGCTTTGTCAATCCTTGACTCACAATCCACTCCCATGACCTTGGGCATAGACCAGTGGGATCACTTCTGTACTTTGTCTAAGTCACTGTACTATTCTCTTGTCCAGTTTGTTTTTTATGGCCCGTAATGTCTTATCCTGAGGTCATCAGCAATAATAGAAGATGACACACAGTGTTTAGGGTCATTTATCCCTTTTAAGGGATCTCTTCCCCATAGACTACTTACTGAGTCTGGGCTTCATTTTGTCTGAAGTCATGTTGATACCCCAGAGCAAGGTTCGGTCCATTGGGCTTTGAAAACACATGGGCATTACGCCTTAGGATATTCCAGATGGCCGTTAGCAATGACATTAGGAAGTTTCCATCATTTGTCATTGGGCGGCAGCAGCAGAAGACTTGGATTAGACAAGAATGCAGAAAGTTTGCACACTTATCAGAGCCTTGGGAATGCTGCTTAAAGGGCCCTGGGAGTGTCCGCTGACCCCAGCCCTGCACCAGGCTACTGCTGTCGCCCTGCTGTTGAGCAGCTTTGGATGGCAGGCTGCCTTGTAGATCTTTTGGCCTTGCTGTGACACGGCTTTCTGCCTGCTTTGGACACCAGCCCTTCTTCTGGGACAGAACCGCAGGCAGGCTGTAGGTGGCTCACATCAGTGGGATTGGAGCCCTGGCTGAGTCAGCTGGTGGTCAGTGTTGTCATCTCTCTGCCTTCAATCCCTTGTGGTCTTGACCCCTCAGTCAGGCCTCAGGCAGAGTGTTGTCTCCAAAGCCACTTTTTGGTGTGTGTAGGGGGGGTGGGGGTGGGGTGGTAATTCCACTGCCTACTCACATGGTATTTGGCTCATTTGCACCAGCCACATGGACGGTGATATTGTTGCAGCCTTACTGCAACTGGGTGTCCAGTCAGGTCTGCTTCCTGGGTGGGGAAGAGAGTGGGTTGGTATGCTCTTGGTAACACTGGCTTGACTACAGACTTGACCCCCACCTTCCCCTTCATGGGGAGGATTTAACCCTTTTACTGCTGCACACTGTTAGGTTATAGGAGGATCTGTCCCTCGCCCCAACCTGGGTGGGCAGTCTCGTCAGCATCTTCTTTCTGATCCTTTTATCTTATCCTTGTGTGGGGGCTACATTTGGTTGAAGGCTTGAAAGTCAAGCTTACTCCCTGCACCATCGTGCAGCGCCACAGTCCTGACCACCGAAGACTTTGTGTTTCACTAGACAACCACATGCACCAGAGCCACAGGGGCTTGGCTGATCTCAGTTTACCCTGCTGCACCAGGAGATGCAGGGCAGGAAACTCAGTGTGTTGGCAGGTCAGCTTCTTAGCAAGAGTTTTCACCCCAGTCCAGGGGCTATTCTTCAGGCACCTCCCCGCCCCCTTGTCTACCTTTTCAAGAGATGGCTCAGGTGTACGGGAGTGAGACCACACAGGTGGGTGGGTAGAAGAGCTACTGACTGAGAGGCCCTATGCCCAGTGGGAACTGGTTGGCATTGGACTCTCTTGTAATGACCTGTGGGTATGGCTTCCAGGGTCTCCTCAAGGGGAGTGCCTGGTTAAGGCCAAAGGCGTGGGTGTCACCTGGCATTTATGGTTCCCTCAGCAGTGGTTCTCAGTCCACAGGCAGCAGACTGACCAGGGAGTATTTTCACCATTAGTGTCATGGTCTCTCACCCAGCTGGCAGGCCTTTTTCTCAGGTCTCCGGGGAAATAGAGCACAATGAAGTCACCAGTGAAGGGTTTTGTGCACCTCACTCTGAGCTTGTGACCTCAACCCCGGGGTTCCTTGCTGATGCCTGGGTAGTGTTTTGGTGAGGCCATGAGGCTGACCGCTGTCTGTCTTCTGTCCCTGCAGTGTGACTGGCTCAACAACTACCACCTGATCTGCAGGGATGTGATCGGAAAGGAGCTTCAGAAGCAGGGTCGCCAGGAGGCCCTCCAGTGGCTCCTCAGAGAGACGCAGCCTGTCTCCAGACAGCACTGATACCTCCCTGGGTTTGGGTTTTGTAAAAAGCTCTGAGGAAAGGGAGAGATGTGGCAAACCCTTGCCATTTCTGCCTCTCTCTTCCTTCCCCCCACCTCTCCTTTTTAAATTCTTAAGAAGAATTGCAAAACTTCTAACCCTCTTTGATATTTCCTTGCAAATACTCAATCTTACGATTTTTTAAATGGCTGCGAACAAGCCAAGAATAAAATTGCTGCACTGGATGAGGGTGTCCCCGAAAGCTGAATGTTTGTTAAGGGGGTCGTCCAGTGCAGCCTCAGGATGCCCTCTGGCCAGTGGCGGTGGAATGGAGTGCTCTGCCGTGCAGACTCCAGGTGCTAGTGTCCCTCACGATCACCTTCATGCCCACAGATTCTATTTATGATCAGTGAATAAACACGTCCGAACTCTGCCCTGTCCACTTGTCTCTTTCCTCATGGTTCCCAGCCATTCAGGGGAGGTGGCCTCCAGGGCCTGGACTTCTGGCAGACATTTTCCAGATGGAAGGCTCCTTCTAAGGAGAGCTCCCTAGCCTCCTTGTATTTTTTCTGGCTTAATTGTAAATCTCTTTTTCTTTTCTTTAGAAATTCTGTTATTTTGGTGAGTATTTTTCTTATCTCAGTGTGTTTCTGATTTTAAAAATTATATGTAAAAATATGTATAAAACAACTTGTAAAAGCACGATGTCTTCCATAATTCAGTAGAGTAGCTGCTGTCAGTGGCTCCCCACATTGCCACATAATTCATTGTTCCATTGTTTGTATCTGAGCAAACTTTCTTGTACATGTGGGCAAACCCAAAGGGTGGGGAAGGTTAATGTCCCTGTGACTGAGACCATAATGGTGGGGGATGGGAACACAGACTTCCTCCTCCACTGGCTGAGATATTTGAGGCGTGTTCTACACTGTCATCCTGGGTTTCCTAGTGGGCTGAGCCCCAAATGCTCACCGTGATAACTTGCCCCAATACACACATCTTTTACTTGCTGTATTTCCTTCTATCTCTCATTTCCCCACTTGCCCAATGATGCTTCCTGGGTCCATCTCCCAGTAAACTACTCTGAGATGTGCTTCATCTGTAATCCAACTTAAAGATATTCCTTAGATAGAACACTATTAGCTGCCATGCATTTTTTGCTGATTTCTTTCTTTGTATTCAGTGACATATACAATGTGTATGTGTATACATGTAAGGGAGTACACATACACACACACACGTATAAAACATTGGATCGTTGTTTACCTAGGCAGTTGGCTTTTTTAGTGTGATAATATAATTGAATTATTTTTCCATCCTAGTCAATATAAATCTATTTTTAAGGACTGTATAGACTATTACATTTTATGACTATTATCTTTTAAAAACTAGTCTCATTAAAACTTTTAATATGAATGATCCAGAAAAAGAACTATAAGCATCCTTTGGTCATTCATCCAAGAGTAGTGGACAATGTTCATAACACTCTCCAACTTGGGGAGCAGAGAATGAAATCAACCAATCTGAGTGTATCGTTCAGAATCATGGTGGCAGAGAAGAAAACCTCACCAGTTGTTAAGTGCCATTGAGTCAGTTCCAACTCATAGTGACCCTGTTTCCAAGGAGTGGATGGTGAGCTTGAATCGCTGACCTTGCAGTCCAGTGCTTACCCTACAGGGCCACACCAGGACTCGAGGACTTCTAATAGGATATATTTTGACACACCACAGATCCACTTTTGAATGCCATTGGTCTGCATGTGCTCATGTTTCTCATGTGCTCCATAAGTGTGGGCTTAAAAGGAAAAGTTTCTCACATGAATCATGTTTTTCATCTGTCCTCCCTCTCAAAGTCAGCCAACAACTTTTGTTAGAACTTGGTCTCCTCTGTGATATCTTCCTGGTGGCAAATGGGAACCATGAATCACAGCTGATGTGGCGTTTACACAGATTGTAAGTCAAGTGTGATGGCAACTCCATTGTTTGTCCATCAGACGGTTAAGCCTGTCACTTCCCAAGCAGCCTCGGAGCAGTTTGATTGAATTGGCTCATGCCTGAGGAGTCAGGTTTCCTGGTGCCTGATGCCAGAGCCTGCTTGGACCTGTATCGTGTTGGCATGTGTCCAGGAGACATAAAGTAGATGACATGGCCCCATAAAAACTGAAGACCAGAATAAAACTTGTAATGCCCAGAGCTCAGAGGGGAGATGGGGAGATAAATGTGTGGATTGAGAGAAACATTTTTAAACATGTAAACAAAAAAATTCTCTTGAGGTGGTGGTGGTGGTATAGTATGCTAAATTTCTAGAGTAACTCCAGGGAAGCTGACCTTGTCACTTTTTCTAGCTTACTGTATCCCCCCCCCCCCCCCCATGAAGTTTTGTGTGTGAGGCAATCAGAGTGTGAGGAAGGGTACAGGTGGGGGATCCCACCCTTGAACAGTCCCAGGATGGACTTGAGGGAAGCTTGTCTACATAGCCTCTGGTAACAAGTCTGCCCATGAAACTGGAGCAGTGAGAGAAACATGCCCCATCATCCTGACTCTTGGATGTCAGAAAGAGATAGTTGATTGTTTCTCGTCAGATTTTTCTGGATTGGTGGTGGTTGTGTGCCAGCGAGTCAGTTCCAACTCACAGTGACCCTTTACAGGGTTTTAAGGTTATAAAACAGGAGCAGAAAGCCTCATCTTTCTCCCGTGGAAGACCTGGTGGATTCGCACTGCTGACCTTGCAGTTAGCAGCCCAACTCATAGTCTACTATGCTACCAGGGCTCCCTCATTGTGGATTATTGTTGTTGTTAAGTGCCATCGAGTAGGTTCCAACCTATAGATATCCTGTATAGGATTTCTGAGGTGGACTCAAACTGCCGCCTTTGTGGTTCAAATGACTTTGCAGTCTAGCGCATTAACCCACAGCACCATACCAGGACTCCTATTCTGGATTAAGAGTGGGCAATTGTGAAAAGATTCAGTGTATTTAGCTATGAGAGATTTTCAACCTTGGTGTTTCCCAACAGCTGAAAAATGTATACCAGCAATGACATGAAGATGCAGCATGAAGCACTTTGTGACACGTTTCAAGCCAGCTATGCTGGTTTCTAAGGAGCTCTGGTAGCGTAGTGGTTACGAATCGGGCTGTGAACCTCAAGGTCAGCAGTTCGAAACTACCAGCTCTTCTGCAGGAGAAAGATGAGGCTTTCTGCTCCTGTAAAGATTTACAGCCTTGGAAATCCTGTATAGGGTCGCTATGACTCGGAACCGACTCCACGGCACAACAACAACAACAATGCTGGCTTCTAAGAGGAGATGGGGGAGTGGCAGGGAGTGGGGGGCAGTGGTGAGATACTGAATGGGCACAGGAATACGGCTCCTTTAAGCCAGAGTGCTTTGTGTTGTAATTGCCCAAATGGACTCGAGCAAAACCCTACAAAATCACCGCCATCAAGTCGATTCGGACTCATAGTGACCCTGTCTATATAGGGTTTCCATGGGAACAGAAGGCCTCATCTTTCACCCATGGAGCAGCTTGTGGTTAGCAGTCCAGTGTTTATCCTACAGCAGACCCTAAATGTATGTATTTTAGAGTTGGAAAGGACGATATGTGGAAACAAGTCCCAACTGAAGGTCTGGACAAATTTTGGGTTGTAATACAATGCTACTTTATTTTGTGGCTCAAAGCATTCCAGCTGTGGCCATTGGGAACTCTTTTTGTTGACTCCTGTGTCTTTTGATACACTCACCAAAAAATTCTTGTTAATCTCTTATTTAGTTTCTGACACTATAAGATGCTCATATCGTTCTTGCCCCAGTCTTCTTGTTGTTGTTGTCAGGTGCCATCGAGTCAGAACCAACTCATAGCGACCCCGTGCACAGCAGAATGAAACAATGTCCGATCCTGGGCCAACCTCACTACCGCCGTCACACTTGATGCCTTCAATTATGTCACCTGGCTGATCCATCTCGTCGGGGGTCTTCCTCTTTTTCTCTGACCCTCCACCTTACCCAGCATGACATCCTTCTCCAGCGACTGTTCTCTCTGGACAATGTGTCCAAAGTATGAGAGACGAAGCCTAGCCATCTTGGCCTCCAAGGAGCACTCTGGTTGCACTTCTTCCAAAACAGATCTATTGGTTCTTTTGGCAGTCCATGGCACTTTCAGTATTCTCCTCCAACACCACAACTCAAAGGCATCAATTCTTCTACGATCTTCCTTAGTCTCAGATTCAGTCATTTCTCCAAGGGCCCTAGTTTTTGTATCTAGGCCTTCTCACCTGACAACAAGGAAAGATATGTGTGTATACGCCCATCTTCAAGAAGTTTGTGGGAAAATGCCATTATCTTTTTAAATCCATTTTTTCCCACAAACTTTTTGAAGCCCCTTATCTGCAACCACCAGTATCTCTATTAAGCTAACCATGTGTTGATAGTGCTGTTTCCATTCTGATTCATTGCCATGTGGATCTTTGTAGCTTACTCCCCTTGCTTATCTACAGACTCATACCGTCCATCATCTACTTACTTGTTTAATTCTTTTGTTTACTCCTTGTCTGTCTGTTTGCCATACTATGGTGGCTTGCATGTTGTTGTGATACTGGAAGCTATGCCACTGAGATTTAAACTACCAGCAGCGTTACCCATGGTGGACAGGTTTCAGCTGAGCTTCCAGACTAATACAGACGGAAGAAGGAGAGGCAGCTTACTACTGAATGTTTAGCCACTGAAGCCCTTATGAAGAGCAGTGGAACATTGTCATATACAGTGCCAGAAAATAAGACTGAAAGGCACTCAAAATACTACAGGGGGAGAGCTGCTGCCTCAACGTAGAGTTGACCTCAGTGATGATGCGAATGGAGTAAAGCTTTCAGGGCCTTCATTTGCTGATAGAGCACAACTTGAAATAATGAGAAACAGCTGTAAACATTAATAATTGGAACATGGAATGTATGAAATATGAATCTAGGAAATTGGAAGTTTTCAAAATGAAATGGAATGCATAAAAGATTGATATCCTAGGTACTAGTGAGCTGAAATGAACGGTATTGACCATTTTGAATCTGATAAT